CTAACCTCAAGGCAAATAGAGGACTTAATGTGATTTTTTTTTTTTATGATTTAAACATGGTCTTTCAGTATGACTGTACTCACTGCAGCAGGCCAGGGCACCATTCTCATGAGCAGCATTTTTGCTTTTGCAGCAAATCTCACATGAACCAGAAAAAAAAACCCAACCCCAAAACCAATCAGGGTCTCTCTATATAAACTCATCTGAAAGGGTTACTGGAGGTCTTCTGCTTCTACTTACCTTCCTACTGGGCACGTATTCCAAAGCACAGTTGCAGGAACACAGGAACTAATGAAGACTGCTTTCCTATGAATTTATGCCTGTGCTTAATTGCCCCTGTGTCTAAGGTACAAGCTCTAATTGAAGTTGGTCTCATGCCTGGAAACGTATAAATGTCTCTCCCTTATCTGGATTACTGGATATCAGTACAGAATGCAGTTTTCTTCTCCATTCTTCTCTTTCACCTGCACACTTAAAAAAAAAAAATAATCTAAAAATGTAGCCACTCTTGGAGATTTGCCAGATTTGGTTGAAATTAATTAGCTATTCTGAAGCTGAATGATAGAATGATCACATATGCCACAGTTCCACAGGAAAGGGAGAAAGGGTAGTGCCTACTGCATCAAGCCTTGGTTAGTGTTACTACCTCTTTTTGGTGGTAAAGCCTCTGTGAACTACTAACTAATCCTACACATACTCAAGTTTGTTTGTTTGTTTGTTTTTTAAAAAAAGCCATGACTCAAGATGGTAATTTAAAAAAAAAAAAACAAAAAACAACAGTATTAAGTATTTATCAGACTACTAAATAAGCCATTATTCTATTTTGTCAAAAGAATCACAATTTACAAGAAAACGCTTTTCCCCCATACCTTTGAAACAAACCACACACAAAAGCAAACCACATTACTGGGCTTCAATGAAAACAAATAGCCATTCAACAATTTTATCTTAAACTTTAGTCAGCTCACTGGACACAAAAACCAACCCAACACCCAGTACTTGCCATACCTAACATTTCTCTCAGTAATGATCTCAAACACAGAAAAGTGAATTTGTTATAAGTTCGGGGGTTTTTTTTATTAAACACTTCTGGTGGGTGGTTGGCTTTGTTGTTTGTTTGTTTGTTGTTTCTTTTAGTGACATAACCTGCTCTTCCTTAACAAGTCTTGTTTTGGAAGCTTGCACATCCCAAGGTTGAAGTTACACTATATTTTCTTGATCTCCAAAACTCGTCTGGAACTGGCACAGGAAAAAGACGATACGCTGTTCCTTTGTTGTAACATTTACTATTGCAATACTTACTTGCCACTTCCCACGTGCTCCTAGGGGACTTCCAAATACGGCAGACATGTGGATACAATTTCTTTTAAATTCTGTTTTTGCAAAAAGTCCTGTAACCACCTGTAACTTCAATTATTCTTCCCTAAAAAGATGACAGTTGAAATTACTGAATGTTTTCCCTGTAATGGAAAGTTGCCTCTAGCTTTATATTTTCCTGTGGACATGTTGGTTGTGCATCAACATTACCACAATAATTCTTTAGGTCATAAAACACTCATTTTGGGGGAATCTTGGTTAAGCAAAGGAGTAATTGTTTTTTTGGGTTTTTTTTTAAAGCTACCATACAAACTTATGAAAATCATGTCGGATAATGAAATTTTAATATTTTTCACTGGCTTTTTTTTTTTATAAAAAAGCAGTCAAGTCACTAGACATCTGAAGTAAATCTCTTTCCTG